TAAGGAATTTGCGATGGTGGATGGCTTCACACACCACTTGCACATCTACAGGGAATTAACACAAACACAGCAATTCAAGAAATGTTAACAGGATACCGATCAACACCTCATTCAGCTACAGGCATAACCCCGTATAATGCATTGATGAATAGACAGATCCGAACCAAATTAGATTATTAACCACGAGTGGCAACAAAAATACCCCAGGATATTATAATGGAGGAAAGAGACAGAGCATACAAGGACAAGCTTAAGCAACAATCTGAAAAACAGGTAAACTAGAGAACACATATTTGTGGTAGGAGACTATGTACTTTTGAAGCAAACCAATAGAAAAAAATGGACCACTGCTTATGAACCAGCTTTTTATGTCATATACCGCATAGATGGTTCATCATTCGCAGCTAGAAGAATCACTGATGGCAGACAGATTTACCGGGATACAGGCAAATACAAACTTGCAAATGCATTCATACAAAATCCTGACAGTGAATTAGAGAATGAAACGGACGACTGGAGAAAGTACTAATATAGGCACACCAACCCATAAATGAAATGGAGCAACAACCAAACCATGAAAACACGGACCGATCACAACTTACGGAAACACCAACAACACCAAAAACAACAGAAATAGACGGAGACCTACATACCTGAAAGATTATCTTATAAACTATACTATTGTATATGTCAATACAGATCATCAAATATCAAAAGCTATATAAAAGCTATATAACCCACTAAAGAACAGAAAAGTCATGCATTTATAGATTTCCAAACCACATAATCAATAAACCTATGTTATGATTTAAGCTGTCAAATACTTAATGCAATTAATATAGGAATTAACTGAAGCAGAGAAAAATCAATGTATAATATATATCACAGAAAATATCAATCGCTAAGTCTATTGAAATAAGCATTTATGATTGAGAAGTAATTGAAAGTTATGTTATACAATATTGAAATAGTTAATAATCGTTAAAGAAAGACAACAATAGACGATTTAATTAAAACAGTTATATAATATATATAAAAAATATATATAAAATCTATCTAACTTTAACGCAACTATTAATATTATTAATAATAATTGCGTTAAAGTTAGATAGATTTTATAGATTAGCTAAAGTGAATAACAAGTTAGAGATCTCTAAAGAAATGGAGAAACTGTGATATCCTATGTAGCGCCCTCTGTTAAGCACAGTTGCTACTACTACGCTGACGGCGGAGAAGTATTTAAATGTTAGTTGAGTTCTAACTATAGGCTCTGTGTATCATTTAATATTACACACGGGATGCTTCAGGTACAAAAAGGAGAGACAAATTCGAAATACATTTTAGGGCTCGAAAAACAAAATGGAAACAAAAAAACAAATAAGAAGGTCAAATGGAACGCTCACACAAAATTCTAGTGGAACATTAAACGAAGAAGTTAAGCACTTTGAGAAATTATATTCAAATAAAAATATAAAAATTGAAAATGTTAAAAAATATTTAGATTTAACTAAATCCAAAAACAAACAAATTTTGAAAGTGAGTCTTTTGAAAGGGAGAGCTTAATTTAAACGAATGTGAAATCGCCATACATAGTATGATTAAAGACAAAGCACCTGGTACTGATGCCCTCACTGTTGAGTTTTATCAGCTATTCTGGCCAAAGGGAGGCTCCATAGTTTGTAAAGCCCTTAATATGTCTTCGAAAACTAAAATTATCATGTTCTAAACGCAGAGGTGTTATAAAACCTAATCCATAAGAAGGGTGACCATGAAAACCAAAAGCTCCATTCCCGGAAACATTTCACTAAAAACAATTTTTTTTTTTTATAGAAAAGATGCATATGCATTACTCTAATTATTATAAATCATGGAAAAATATTGGCATAAATTTTAGTTTTACGCAAAAGAATAAACAAAATGAAAAATACAGACTATTTCTCATAGAATATTACCATTTTCTCGACGAATTCTTCGTTACTAGGCAAATTCAGAGGTTGTAGATCGCATCCGCTGGAATACTCTCGCTTTATACAGTCAATAAAGTGCGCCCTCTGTAATGGGATTAGTTTTTGTACTTCGCATCTCGCACAATTAGGCCTGAGTATGTTTGTTTATGTGTCAAAATCTCGGTCAGAATAGTTTTTTAACAAATTTGGAATATTTCCTATGAAATATTTTTTTTCACAAGTGTCAATACAAGCAACGGAAAATATCATGTCGGCCGTTTTTATGTGTGATAACGAACCTAAATCGTGGAAAGGCTAGGCCTAACCTATCAGTGTTTGTTGATAGGCAAATTTTTTCGGCGCCTACTATAAAATCAAACAAGAAAAATTCATCCGCATTTATTTTTTGTGTGGAACACAAAATAATCAAACTTTCAGTCTTTTTTTACATTTTTTTAACATTTTTTTTCATGCTTAGGAATGTCTAAATTCAGTCAAACTAGCAATTCCGTATTGTATTTATAAATAATAACATTATACAACAATTAGATTTTTCTTAACAACAACATTTTGCCAGGAATGGCCGGGGGCCTTAGGTAACTGGCGACCCATAACCCTAATGAACGTGGACTATGAAATTGCAGCATTTGTTTCTTTTTGTTTTTTTTAAATTATTTTTTAAGTATTTACATTTATTTATTCAGAAAATTCCATAACAAATTACAAATTACAAATTACATATAGGCATCAAAAGAAGCGGTGGCTTGTCAGTTTGAAAACCAAACATATAAAACATACACACACAGAATACAAAGAAAACACATCAACATTTTAAGTTTTATATTTGGGATCGCCCACAAATATTGCCGGCACCTCCCGGAAGTGGAAATGCCTCAGTGATCATCACGTCATAGTAATAATACCATGCACCTCAGACACCAAGACATCTTCGACAGTGTACAGTGTAAAGTGCCAGCGATCATGGACGACTCTCAAGAAAATGAAAAAAATAAATAAATAAAAATTTAAAGATAAATTAAAGTGCAAAGCTGGAAAGGTTTTTTTTAATTAAGCACCTAATATCATCTCTTTCGATTTATTTTTGATTGAATTTTGCGAATTTATTTTTAAAGGCTATCATATAGCTCATTCCAGTTATTTGGTCCGTGAATAAAAATAGATCTGTGACAGGATGTCAGTCTTGAAAAAGGTACAAAATTTCTTAAGGCTTTTGCACGTTCACTTTTTGTATTACCATCAAGGATTTCGCATAAGGGAGGGGGTATTTGTCTGAGATGATATCTAGAAATAAAACATACTGCCTGTACCTTATTTATATCAACGATTATAAGAATATTAAATTGTTTAAATAATGGACGTGATCTAGTATCTCGTGGTGAATTTGTTATTATTAGTCTAACTGCTAATTTGGTAACTTATGTAACTTTTCAATATGTGTTGTGTAGGAATTTCCCCATATAACGTTCCCATATTGAAGGTGCGGCAAGATAAAGGCGTTATATAAACTTATTAGTGTATGTACATGAAACATGTTTTTTACTTTACAGATGATACCAATGGCCTTAGATATTTTGTTGCATAAATATGTGGGGTTTCCAGCTTAAATTTTCGTTTATAACAATACCTAAGAATGTGATGCTGTCCATTCTTTTTAGGTTTATACCATTTATTTTGATACACATATTTTGTGATTGTTTTAATATGTTTTGTGGTTGGAAAATAACAAAGTTAGTTTCATTTGTATTTAATACAAGTTTATTTGCTTTAAACCATTCATTAAATTTTAAAAGTTTAAAGTTCAATGTATGGGTTATATTAGTAATATTTTAGCCGAATAATAGACAATGGTATCATCTGCGTAAGTGATTACCTTACCTACATTGCTAACATTGCATATATATCGTTTACATACAGTATAAATAGCAACGGGCCTAGAATCGACCCCTGGGGGACCCCACAAGTAATTTCAGATAGTGGTGATTTTATATATATATTTTTTTTATTTGTCCATGAGGTTTTGCGAATTTAAATATTTTTTATAAAGTTTAAGTTTCTTTTTGCCAGATTTTAATAATCCATTTGTCATCCATTGTTTAAATTTACTTGAATTTGTTAGATCTTTTTGTTTGATCTTTTTTAGAACGTGTTTACCATGGATCAATTTTATAACTCCATGGAACATGTCGTAGGCAATATTTGGGTATTTTTTAAAGGATTACATTTGTCTAGTCTATTTTATATAAATCATGAATAATATTTTGAATTGACTCATCATTAACGGTATATTTATACATAAGAGGATTTTCTTTGTTAAGTTTATGTGTATTTTGTACAGACTTTTCAATGTGGGGTTTCCAGCTTAAATTTTCGTTATAGCAATACCTAAGAATGTGACGCTGTCCATTCTTTTTAGGTTTATACCATTTATTTCGATACAGATATTTTGTGATTGTTTTAATATGTTTTGTGGTTGGAAAATAACAAAGTTAGTTTTATTGGTATTTAATACAAGTTTATTTGCTTTAAAATATTCATTAAATTTTAAAAGTTCAAAGTTCAATGTATGGGTTAAATTAGTAATATTTTTAGCCGAATAATAGACAATGGTATCATCTGCGTAAGAGATTACCTTAACTACATTGCTAAAATTGCATATATCGTTTACATACAGTATAAACATGGAGGAGAAAAAAAGGAGTTTCTTCGATACTAAGATCAAAGAAACAGAGTGACACACCGCACTGATAAGAAGTCGGTAAATCACGACTTAATCGCTATGTTATGTAACGGGAGACAAACTTGCTTGCACCATGCTTGCACATGCGTAGATACAAGCTGCCGACAGAGACTAGTTCTAGCGCATGCTCAGATTTATGTTTTGACGCGCGAGACTATTTTTCTCGATGTTTTGTTGCAAACATGGCTACTACTACTACGAGTGATTGCGAATTGAGATTCAACCAAGGTCATGATGACTATGACTTATTAGACGAAGAATTTGAGTTGGATGATCTACCAGACGTAGAATTTGAGTTTGAGGAAGAAGATGAGGATGAAAATACCCATCTAGATTGCGGGAATAACGGAGGAGCGTCGACTGAAAATACGCCGATTTCCACCAATGGTTATGGTAGGCCAACGTCCCCTTCTCTACGATATTCAGCCAATCTGGTCGCAGGCTAGCCTAGGTGAGCGCTAATGTTGGGCCACATTGTCACTAACATATCCTTAGCTATAATAAGTGGGGTAGGCTATAAGGAAATAATAATGCTGAACGACCAACACTCCTGAAGGCCCATCTACTCTTCCTACACTAGGGCCTAGGCCTACACTACTATAGTAGTATGCTAGTAGCCTACCTATCTACCTAGGCCTATGCCATGTTAGGGTCCATGTATAAGGGAGGACAGGCCTAGGCCTAGGGGAATTTTCGTAAAGTAGTAGTAGTAGGATACTTTCACAGGCCTAGGCTAGTAAGTAGGATTCTGAGTAGGAAAAGCCTAGGCTAGAAATGTTTAAAATCAGATTAAAAATTATTCTTTTGCTGTTTGCATTTCAGGTGCATGTGACACTTCCTCAAAAAAGAAGAAAAAATCAAAGTAAAAAAAAGACAAGATGAAGAAGAAAGACCCAAAAGCCAAAAGGGACGAGGTATCCACAAAACAAGGTAAGTTTCTGAAGCAAAATCAGTAAATCATTGAAATGTGATACATATAATCTTCAGTGTCAATGTAATACAATTTATTTTTATATATATTTTCAGCTGTCGCTCGCCCAGAGATGAAATTTAGCATGGAAGACGCCATTGCAAATGCCACAACGTATGTAGAAACGGCATTAAATGAACTAGTAAATCATCCTGTTTACAAGACTGGATTCCCAGCAGCATTGGCTGCTGGAGCCCTAGCATCAACATTGCTTGGCCTAATTGCATCACCGATCGTACATGCATTTTCCCAGGACTTAGTGAAAGACATTTGGGTCATAGTCACTGCAGGGGATAAAAAGAAAATAAAGCCTGAAGCCAATGAATTGGTTTACCGACAATATCATTTGTATATAACATGTAGTTCCTGTAAACAACAATGGGCAAATTTTCTTCAGTCGTTAAATTTAACTCCCAATGACCATGTACATCACTTCCTTTTAAGAACTTTACTCAGGCTGATCATGGCTGACAAAAATATTGCAGACTTGTCCGAGAAGCAGAATGCAGAAGTAAACCCTTTGGACAAAAGTACAAAAGAAGTCATTAGATACACAGCTGGCTATGTACCGTATGCCCTGCATAAAAGGTATAGTAAAGTGAAAGGGGAAACGGCCAAAGTGTATTGCACTCTGCTTAGCAATTGGAAAGTCAAAGGGACAGATAATTATAGGACGTTTCTAGAATACACAAATGGATGGTTGAGAAAACAAACTCGAGGGGGATTATTTGAGGTCAAGGATAACGTATATTTATTTTTTAGGACATTAGAAAATGACACAAGAAAACACTTAACAGTAACAAGAATGAACGAATTGCCAAACAAAGATATGAAGTCGTGTACTATGTATAGCATAGCAGAAAATCACTTGGTTCACACATACTGGTGCAATATTACAGAAAACAAGTTAGTTGGGGATATATCGAAGAATTTATTGGATGTTGTAATTAAACTATGGGTTAAAATTAGAAATTTTTGAAAGTCTACTTAAATTTAAAGAGGGCATAGGGAAAGAAAGTGTCTGGAAAATCTTCGAAGGCCCTTTGCAAAGACCTGTAAGTATATTAAATCTTGAAAAGATGTGTTGGCATTCCATGATTGCATATGTCAATTTCCTCTGGTAATTACAATGTATATGTTTGTGCAGATGTCACGCCAACATTTATTTAATATTATTTACTTTGAGTATGTACTGTATGATATGTTGAACCACATTTGAACTGAATAAAATTATGTTTTCTTACAACAAGTTTGGACATTCTCACAATAAAATTTAGCACAGATAATAGCAGCAATTTCCAGAACTGGTTAACATGAGCTGGAGACTTCATTGTATGCACACACAGAAATAGGAAGATAACGAATGAAAAAGAATTCAAAGAATGACCATTATATTTTATTTTGGCTAATAAATACTGTAATTAAAGCAATATAATGCAGTCCATGACATACCGGTAAAGAGAAAAATAATACCTAAACAATCATACTGTACTACCATGGAAGAATGGAATACCTATACAGTCCATTTGCAACTAGGAAGAATATTATATATTTTACAATAAAATAAATATGAGTGTGCTATATTCAATGGCATACAGTACTGTACCTAAATATGCCTAGATTCTTTTTCAAAATGGAAGTGTATACTGCAATATTAATGATTTTAATAATGAATTCTATCATTGTAAACAAAATTTAATTTACAAAACAGTATTTTGAAGTCATTCATTAAAGTTGTGCATGTACATTCATAGAGGAATCATATGCAGTAAAATCAGTGTAATAAGTACATTATGACTCACATTTATTACCACCATAATTTTTACATTATTCAACTCAGATTTGAGTGCTGGTATTAAATCATGGGTTTAATTTTTGAAGGATATACAGAAAATGTAATGCACTTATCGAAACTCCCATCATCACTATAACTTATATTTAATTTGTACTTGGACAACTACACAGTTGTACTTACTGTTTAAATTTAAACATGACGGTACAGTATTTGTGTGTGATGAATTAGGCCCAAAAAAATAAATTGTTTGTTTGCCCTTCTTTTTTAAAAGATGATAAATAAAAATTGAAAAAATTAATTAAAAAAAAATTTTTTTTATTTATTTATTTATTTTTTTTAAATACTCATCTGATGGAATAAAAATACCACACAGAGGCCTAGAATGGCAATATCTTACATCAGACAACTTTGAAGGGCATTTGGCCAAAAATAAAGATAAATTCACTTAAATTTTTTTTTCAATTTGTAAAAAAAAGCTAAAAAAAAAAGTTGTTTTGGTTTTCCGCACCTATTTTGTGCATTGAGTTAGGTGCAGGCGGGGAGGGCAAACATACATTTTTTTTTTTGGCCTTATTAAAGAAGCATGCAGTTCTTTATTTACTTCCTCTTTGACAATGGAGTGTCATCTAGATTAATTTGTTTCTCTATTGCTCGGCTATTGCTCCTCTTGGACGCTTTTGCACAGTCTGCAGCAACATACAGGGCATGCATATTATGCCCAAACTGTGCTACGGTTGGATTTTCGCATCTTCCTCCAGCACTCTCTGTTTACTAAAGTAATTTTCCAGCGGATCCTGGTTGAATTTCTCACTCAGCAGGAAAGTTACGTTGGGGGAATCCAATAGAGTTTGGCCAAGTTCAACAAATGAGTTTACTGTAAAAAAAAGAGTTAATTTTTAAAAATTGTAGGTGGTAGCATGAGAAAATTCTAAAAACATCTTTAAGCAGGGTACAAAACTTTTGGCTTTAGGGGCCAGCAAGATAACACATCAATCTGTGAATTAGGACAACATACAGTAAGCATGATTACAATTCTTATTTCATTAAATTAATCTTATTATAAGAGTAAGTTGTATCATGGAGGAAAGTTCCTCCATGGTTGTATTTAGATCTTGTTCTGCTAACCTGTTATTCTTAGTCCTTCAATTGTTTCTCGGCTGAGCAGCATTTTTTTCTTGGTCGCATTCGTCACATTCTCCATGCTGTTTACTTGGGAATCCCACTTATCCAAGAAGCCTAAAAAATCTTCTTTTAGCCACTGTAATGAAATAAAATATTCTTTTTATGTAGCGATAAATAAATTAGGAAATCAAAACATTTTTTAAAAGATTGAAATTCTGTACATACCACAAATCGCCAGTCATCCGAACTTCTGTACTCTCTTAATTCCTCTTTTCTGTTTCGTATTCCCTTAAAGCAGTTTGAAACATTCAGACAGTCAAAAAATCTGTCAAACATCCGAATAAATTTGACGGTTGATTCTGTGGATCCTTTACCATATGTTTCTAGAGCATTAGCAACTGTACTGCTTAAAATCTAAGAGAGGAAAAATAATTAAATATTTTTGTAATCAATCACATCACAAACCAATGTCTCGGTTCTAAGCACGGAGTGAGTAGCTCATAACTAGAATAATTTAATGAAGAAAACACAAACCTGTGCGGCCATGTAAACTCTCATTCTCAAAGGGGGTGTAAGATGAAGGTGCTCGTAGGAGAGTTTATGGAGATGGCGTAACCCAGGAGATGTACGGTCAAGGCCAATGTCCCACTCGTACAAATCAAGCACCTGCGTCCATTTTATATCTTGTTTATTGTACTGATTGTAAAAAAAAATAAATATATATTACACATTTCAATGCATTAAAAGTACTGTATTATATAAGTTTAAAAATATATAGTAATTACATTGTAATGTTATTACTGTATAATGTTTATATCAACAAAATGGCAAGTTTTCTAGAGCATTTAAGGAACTACAGTATAAAAGAGAAAGGGAAGCAAGATAAATTAAGACCATAACTTACATGTAAATGTCGAGTGTTGTTGTGGTAGCCTGAATTTTCAAAGTTGTTCCTTGTTGTCTTTATCAGATGTGGAACATCACAAATGAAATAAACTGTCCTCGATGGGTACAAATGGTGAGGTGTTCAATATATCGTTGAATTTGTCCCAGGAGCAGAGTGAATGCAATAAAAATTCCTGTTGGGTGATGCTCAATCTGAAACCAAGGCCCTAACTTGAAAGCCAGCAACCTCAACAAACTCGATTGCTTCCCATATCATAGTAAACAGTTGGTCACTAGAAGCTGTTGTAGTGGCATAGTAGCCAACAGGGGAATGTAGGTCACTGAATATTCCCCGTAGCATGATAACCAGTACATGAGACGCAATAGTTGGTTCCTGTTCTCCTCTGCATCGCTTTTCAAAACGATCAATCTCATTGGCAAGACTGCCTACATCTGTAAACCCAGCAATCATTCCTGTACGAATCGAATAATACAGACCCGATTTTATCTTCATCTCGTCGAACAGTACACATACATCCCTTTTAAGCTGCGCTCCATCCTTATGTAGGCCTATGTCGCTAACAATCCTCTCCAACATATCTGCAGAAAAACCGGCATCCGGATCTGCAAAGTGTGAATATTTATGGAGGGTGCTTGGATGTTGCAATTTCAAAAACCCAGTGGATCTTAAAAAGTCATAATTAGAAGCAGATCTTGTTTGTAGCGCTATACACCATCTGATAATTGTGGGATGCCATCTCATCTGTTTATTTATCTTTAGACTCTCAGGCTGCTGGTCAAATAAGAGCCTGGAGGGAGCGAGTTCGTAAAATCATCAGCATGTATCGCCAAGGTTTCCTCCATGCTTTTTGACTATTCGTGATGCAAAACCTGACTTTCCTTATTATGCATTTCAGTTATTCTATCTTGAAGAGACTCAATTTTTCTTTTCAAATGAACTCTGTCAGCTTGTTGCGCAGACAATTTATTTAGTAGCTGCGAATGACTTAAATATCGATTTGGGATGGTTGATGAAGGTAGAATAGTAGTTGTAGCTTTGTTTTGATTGGCTCGTATAGTACTTACGTTTGGCCTTATGATTTTGCACATGTTTGCAACGTTGAATTCCTTCTGACACGAAAAGAAGACACTGGTTGTCTCGAATTGTCTTAAAAGTTGATGAGTATGTGTTATTTTTGGATACTCTAATCGGGATCTGACCCTCTGGTCCTTTTTTATGCTCAGTGACATCCTGGAAATCATTATTTCCTATACAAATGTTTTTTTCAAACAATTCTTTCACTTGTTTTATGTCCTTGACATCAACGTTATGCAGCATGTAGGAAGGATCAATACCTGCAACAGACAACTTCCGACTGAAATCGCTTGATATGTTCAGATGTATAAGCATTTCACCTGTATCAGTCAACTTGATAATCTGGAGCTGTTCACCAGCACACCAGGTCAAAAGTCCAGCTTCACGTGCTTCGCTCTCAAAATCTGCCAGGGTCTTCTTTTTACTTGTTTTATTAAGAACTTGATTTCCACATGAAAAACAAACAAAGTCAAACATTTATTATGAATTTCTTTTACATTCAATGTCGGCTCCAATGTCAATCCCCAAAGCTTCATTGATCACTTTTGACAGTGACTCCTTCTTCTGAGGTTTTCTATGTTTCCATGATGAAGGGTTATCCGATCCACAAAGCCTGCATTTTTTCAGCAGACACTGCGAGTGCCTGTTCATATTCCTACAGGGTAAACAAAATATTAGTTGTTGTTACTAATCTACCAATATAAATTATAAATAAAGTAAAATACTAAAATAGGCCTGGATGGATGTTCAGCAAGTCTAGCTAGGCTAGGGTCTATGCTAAGCCTAGACCAGGAAGGAGAATGGCTTAGGCCTACACAAAACCGTCATCAAGAAACAAACAAACCTCGATCCCATTTATATTTTATATTTATAAATTAATCATTATTAATAATGATTAATTAAAGGAAAGGCCTACTACTACTAGCCTAGGTTTATATATTATTTAGACATCTACCTACTGTTCGTATGCCCCAGCTAGGCCTAGGCTAGACCTGGTCCTTTCTTTTATTGCTAAGTAAAATGCGGCTAGTCCAGGCCTAGGCGTAGGCTAGGTAAGCAATGCTTCCGGACCGGAAGGAACAGGCAAGGAAAAATCTCACTCACGTTGTAAACTTGCAACAATGTGCACGGACATATGAATTCCCTTACCAGTAAGCTTAAATATTTGTCTTTCTAAATAAATAAATGCCAATATGCGAAAATATGCGGAAAATTAAAAATAAGCAAAATATGTACATCAATAAAACAACATTTGAAAATACCGTAAAAATTACATTTTGGGGAAAAAAGCACTTCTTGTTAACCGATTTTGACGTTCTAGGTATCAAAATACTTGTTAGAAAAGCCAGTATCGTAATTCGTTAAAAGCGGCTGTAAATGAGCCTAACCAAGATTCATACGTCACAATTTTTGAAATT